CACCTGCTTTTCTTCCAGGACTGATGGAGATCCCGGGCCGAGATGGCACCATTTTGTACATAGTTTTTAGATTTGTTGTTCGCTTTAGGATATAGGTTTTAGTGCTACGTTTGGTCTTCTGTAAATACGTTTCAAATATTGTTGTTAGATATGTTCTTATGTATATACGTTCAATAAATTGTTGTTGTTACAAATATTCTTACAAAAGTCAATGTGTTCTGTGTTTTCATTGCTGTTCTTCTGTAAATAAACAACCCTGATTTTTCACACCCCAGTTCTCTTTCCATTTGCTTCAGGCACAGGCAGTATTGGCAAAGTTGTGTTTTCCGCTTGCTCCAGGTTCCCAGGGCGGGAGGTTCATGGGGGAGCTGGCACAGCCACCCCAGGAGTGGGGTACCTGCACAGAGGGGTCCCACTGGCAGAGGTCACTGTCTCCTTGCAGTCTCTCTGGACACACTTGGGAGCTGCAGGGGCAAATCCCAGCGTGCCCGGTCCCGTGGGATCCCATGTTGGGACTCAATGTCCCAGCCAGGGTGAGCACTGCTTGTGGCCCTGGGCTCAGCATGGCAGGCCTGGTGCTCACACCACTGCAGACTTCAAGCTGGCCATGCACAGCTCCGTGTTTCTCCCAAAAATATCACTGCTGCAGCACCTGGGGTTCCCCAGTGCTGGGCTTGTTATCCCTACTGCATGGAGGATCGCATGGCATGGCAAAGGATGGATCCCATGTGGCATCCAACCTGCCCTGATCCAGGCTGGGCACCAGCAGGGGAAGGTGCAGTGCAATGTCTGCACATCCCAACCAGCCATCCTACCCCAGCCGCTGCATGAGATGGAAAAGCAGGTGGGGAGTGACTCCAAACAGCGCTGTCTGATTTATCTTAGCCAAAACCAGCACTGGGGGTTGTTGGGAGAAAGGGAGAATTCACATGTTCAGTGACACATTGGAAAGGACCTTGATCAGATTCACAGAGTAAGGAGAAATTCTGCATCCCTGATTTGCAGTATTTTCAGCTAAAAAACACACCTGTCAGCCCAGGTAAAAGCAGATGTTCAATAGAGAGCTGGGTGGGATTAGGTAACAAGCAGATAGGAATAGAGAAGCAGCAGTATGTGACTTCTGTGTAGTTCTGAATGATGTTGTTCAAGACTGAGCTGCATAGTAATAAGAAATGGAAAAGCAATGATGGGAAAATTAATAGACATACACAACAATGGAGATGAGATTGGATTTGAGGCAGGACTTGGTTCCAATCAAATCTTCCTGGGAAGAGGCCTGGCTTAAACTCTCATTGTTTGCTTTCCTTTGAAGAACAACAATATCCAAAATATGACAGATGAATATTCCTGGGGTAGAGGTTGGTAATTCAACTGCAAACCTCAGGAGAGGAAGGATTGCAGGAACCACAAGAGGAAGACAAATTGTAGTCTCATCAAACAACAGAAAAGTCCAGGGCCTGTGTATAAATATACAGCGCTTGTGTTGAATTCTTCCAGGAAAATGCAAGACTGAAGTGAATCCCAGGTGTTTGACTTCATGAAAATTAGCAAGCCCTGATTCGATTTCCTTCCCAGTCGGTGAATATGAAATCCCTGGGCAGATGCCTCAGTTCCAGGTGTAGGTAGAGTTACTGTATCCAGGAACCTCTCTCTCCTCTGCATCTCCCATTTTTCTGAAAACAAGTCCACACAGTGGCCCCAGCGGCAGCACGTGTCACCCTCTGAGCTGCACTCGCTGAGATTTAGATTGCAGCCCCACTGAAGAACAACAAAGGCTCCTTTGTGCCCAAACCCAGAGACAGAGCCCAGAATTGATGTTGGAAGGGATTTAAAGGGCAAACACAGGTGGCTCTAATCCCCCTTCTCACTTCACCTCGGCAATGTAGCTCTTCTTTTGGCCAAGTTCAGCAGCCCACTCATAGAATCCTAGAATGGTTTGGCTTAGGAAGGAACTAATGACCATCTCATTCCATGCCCCCTGCCTTCCACTATGCCAGGTACTCCAAACCCTGTCCAACTGGTCTGGAACACCTCCAGGCATGGAGCTGCCACAGCTTCTCTGGTCAGTCTGTTCCAGGCTCTTTCCAATCTCACAGAAAAGAATTTCTTCCCACTCTCCTTCTAAACCTGTCCTTTGTCAGGCTGAACCCATTCCCCCTTGTTCTCTCCCTCCAGAGCCTTTTCCAAAGTCCCTCTCCAGGTCTCCTCAAGCACCTTCAGGCATTGGAAGGAGCTCAAAGGTCTCCCTGGAGTGGCTCCAGCAGCTCCACATCCTTCACCAATTCCAGAAACCAACCAGAGTTCAATAAATAAGAGACAAGAACTAGGTGGTTCAATCATGGTTACCAACACACGGAAATGACACAGGAACCCTCAAGCCCTGTGCTTCTCTGAGACCAGCTCTGCATTCCTCCCACGCTGAGGGAGGGCATCAGCAGGAGGGATCAGCACTGCCAGGGCAAAAGGTGGCCTCTTTTCATGGCCCTTGAAACTGGACATGTGAAATGAGGTACACAAAGCCAAAGGCCAGGTGGACCTGTCATCTCTGAACGGCTCTTTACAGTCTTCCCAGGAACATGAATGACAGTCACTG